CAGTAAATGACTGCACATAATGGTACCATTTCTCGGAATACTGTTTCTGTCGAATCCATTTCTCGAAGGTATTAATGTTAACACCGAAGATTGAAGAGGTATGTTCAGCATCTGGATTGCCGAGAGAGGAATGAAGGTAGAAAAAGACGGCTTTTGACTATTTCTCCCGCGTCATAGTGCGGTACATCTCTGATGTCACCTTGCCCAAATTCCTTTTGTATTCATTGTATCCAATAGCTCCTTCATCAAGCGGCGATGCAGCTGACGCTGTCGTGCCTCAATTATAATTTCACTAGGTATTTGGCTGTTGGTAGAGTTCGGCTGGACATGTGGCTGTAGAGACTGCAAATGCAACTTCGGGAACATTTCTCGACGAATTAGGCGAGCGACAGATTCAACGTGGTCTCGCCCGCGCTTCCTGCGTTCTTGGGCGTCCACCCACTTCTGATTCGCAGGATTTGATAGCAGAAATCTCTTCATGATGCCAAACTAGAGTGCGGACTCCGTGGTGATTTTTTTGTTTGGTCATTACCCATGTGGTTGTTTTTTTTGTTAAACAAAAATCACCTTAATGTTAAGAGGTGAACGAAAATCAGAAAAAGGTGATCTTTTTGAGTGGCTTTTATTTTGTGAAGTACGTTATATGTTTTCCTGATAAAATAGTAAAGCCTACTTTAAAGCTATACTACTGGCTATTCAGCAACGTACTGACTTGCTGTACAAGTGAAGCCACACTCTTATGTGGTCACACTATCTTGTGTGACCCAAACCCTTCCTACTATCGCACGTGTAACCCCTTCTCGCATGGGACATAACGTTGATATTCACGACACCAGTATGTTGGGTTGAAACTAGTTAACGTACTTTTTTTACCGGAAGTCGCTACATCATCCCGATACTTGAATATGCTCTGATGGCCCGTTTCGATGTTCAAGATCAATTTATTTTGGCAATACCCATTTCCTGCACAGAATCTATCATATTTCACGCTCGCACCAAATCCAGAGTCCATCGACTTGGCTTGAATACATTTGTGATCTATCTCGGTATTGCTCCGTCGCGCACAGCAACGTCGTTACCACCTTGCCCTCAATCTTTTTCGATTATATCTTAGAAGCAAAGTATAGAATGAATGTGGTGTTTGGAGTTGCCCCGGCTATAAACCAAACCGGAATCTGGTGATGAACATGATACGGTGGTGACGTCGCGCATTGATGAAGAGAGATGTACAAATCCGCAACATATATTGCTGCGTTGCCGAAAGCTTTAAAGAAAGTTTGAGCTCAGATGTCGCGGTTGCAAATGCACCGCTATTCCATTTCTGTGACTTTTCTGTATATTAGTTCAACACTCAACAAGTAGTGGAACCTTATTGGGGGACCTCAAGTATTGAAGAATGTATAAGGCGCATCGTACCCCTTTTCTTAGGATCCTGCGTCTTTGAGCCGGAATTTTGCACTCAATAAATATAGTGTAGAAACAAAAGAAATAGATAGAAGAGCTAAAAATCAACATATATGCTGATCTAAGTACCAGGTGGTGTTGCGAAGCTTGCAGGCAGCGAAAAGCGAACAAGCAATTGCCTACTTACACTGACTTATATAGACAGGCAACACCAAGATACATTTTTACTGATGCATCTACCTACTAGAAACCGTTTTCATCGGCTAGATTTTGCTGTGAATTGTTTCTATTAACTGTGCTTGCTGAAGTCTTCCCATTACGCCTTTTCAAAACGCGAAAAAACTCTTCCTCGTTATACAGTCCGTCTCCATCGCGATCTGCTTCATCAATCATATCAAAGCATTTTTCCATCTGTCAAAGTTTCGCCCAGTTCGGTACACACACGCTTTGATTACGAAATCTTGTCCGTGTTATAATCGTCAAAAAGCTGAAATATCTACTTATTCACGTGGATCTCGTGATTTCAAAATAGATAGAAATAACCGTTTTTTTATGAGATCAGTTTCACAAAGTAGATGATTTGTGAGCTGACCATTTTACCCATTATCAATTCAATAAATATCTCAACATTGATCGTCTCTGAGAAGCCCTAATCAATGTCAATAATCATCTGATGGATCTCCGAACTTGAAACCCGATCGCCCACATTGCAGCTTAAGGTTCCCGCATGTCGACCGTGCCGCCAAAAGCTGTAGTAAAGAGACGGAAAGCTTTTTTGACCTGTTCTAGATCGTCGTCATCTAAATTTTCTCTCTTCTGGCTTAGGCTTGCGACGAAGCGCAGCCCGAGACCGTGAATAAGTTGATACGGACGTGCAATAAAAGCATCGTTATCTTTTTCAACGGAAAAAGTGCATGGAGAATTTACTATTATTTGTGCTCAAACGAGATCTGCATGTTCCGACTAATAATCTCTCGACTGAATATCTGGCACTTATGGTCAGGGATATCTCAATGTTACGTTTTTAATAATCCAGACGTGGTATGTTTTCTACTTGAACTAGACGAGAGGGATCAAATCCCAAGACATCTTGCACACTATCTCTCTGGCTATCATCAAAGACAGGTTTGCCCCCATGCCAAGAGATTGTGGAATCACTTGATCAGAGAATGGGAAGGCTTCGGTGTCAGCTTTCGAGGCAAGCCTCTAGCAGCAATTTTCGCACTTCGACTACCATCTTCTCCAGCTCGATTGGCGCTTGCAATGGACCAATAGCTCAGTGATCTTTCTTTGGAGGAAGCAACGACCTTGATGTACCCAATGACCAACATGGTATGGCAATATATGTGCGTGATGTGTGTGGCGGCTGTCTTGCACAACCGAATCCAGGTCATGAGCGGTAACCCCTTCGTACGCGACAAACCGGAGACGCTTTTAAGAATAACAATGGCTCGCCTATCGACAGGACTCTTGGACCTCTGCATTCTCTTCGACACGCTATGCCCTAAGACGACGGACTTAACAGTCGGAGTACTCAAGGCGATCGTTGCTATGATCACGAACAAAGCGAATCTCCCAGCAATCCCTCTACCCAGCATGGCTCGACATACCTCCTCTTGTTCAATGGAGGGTCAAGAGGCAACCTTGGTCCAGGCCGTTCGGGTTCGGTACTGGTGCGTATAACACGCGAGGTCTCGACCCTACGATGTTCTAGTTCGCGTCTATGACTTATGGTCATCCAACTACCACGAACAACAAAGCAGAATATGGAGGCCTGTATCATGGACTTCGCTACGCAGTGTCACACGGATTCTCGCCTCTCTACGTGATCGGAGACAGCTGAATGATCATCGGACAGATGCGAGAACATCGGCCTCCAAAAACGCACCCCCTTTTGGCATAGTTATGCTCAGTGCCAGCTCGAGATTGGCAATCTGCACGTCGTCGGCTCTTGCCATCACCCAAGGGCATACAACAAAATGGCAGATCGCACAGCAAACATCGCAACAATGCGAAGCAAGCACTGCTCACCCAAACCGGGAGGCCATTGCGGAACACCTCAACCAAGACCTACAATACTGGCTCCCAGCGTTCGGTTGCAGGTCTCAGCTGTCTTGGATGGAGCGCCGTTCTAGAGAAGCTAGTACTCGGGACTTCTTCCGAAACCCAGCCGGCGAACCGCCTTTGGCGGCAGACGCCAGCTCCCTCCTAGTCGAAACGCGTAATAACGTAGTCTAGCTAGGAGAGAGGATATCGTCGTTCATCTACATGTAACACAATATACTTGACCTTCATCATCATCAAGACAGGTATATTTTTAAAAAATTTCAATCGCATGAAACAGATTAAATAATAAATAATGACGTTTAGTCATACGACAAGAAGAACTGTAGTTTTTCATTGTGCAATGGCAACAGCTTTTGTAGCAGCAAAATCTTGCAGCGTGCATTTTAAAAGTGCAATGTTTTACCATTCCGTTATAGCCACAGGGGCTGCATGCACCTTGATTGAATTTACGGACACAAATAATGAACATGAGTGTGCTGACTGCGTTTTTCCGGAGTACAAAGATTATTTTGACGCGTTGATACTCGCAACTGCTCACTTATTTCTACTCCTTTCCAAAGCAGTTGGCTGCATCAGCTGAATATTACAGAGTGCTTATCTCAGGTGGTTTTCTAACACAATCTCTATGTGTATTAAAATTGAACAATAAACTGTTGCAGATTGACATGATCTTCGCTTGAGTTATTCCTTTCTAAACTCCCCAATTCCATTGCCCCTGACAAAGCGGAGCATGAAGCTTTTTATCAATTTCACATTTGTTGCCGCGACCGTCACGTTCTACTGCCTCTGTGGTCGATAATTATCCTGAAAACGCTATCGTTTTCCATCGCAATGCTTTACCGTGTTTTGAACACTCTTGTGTGCGCTTCGACAGCAAAACTTACCCGAACGCGTGCATTTGTCAGGTGACTAACTGCCGCACTAGGGTCACGATGGCTTATTTATGGCCTTGTCGTGATAAAGTTGAAGATAACTAGCAGGTACATACGTCAGCATCGGCTACTTCATTGAGCGAAAGCGAAAACGTCTTCGACTTGCGGCCGTGCTCATTTAGCTACCGAAGAACGGGGACCATCTATTCAAACTCAGCTAGAAATCTCGATAGTTCCTGGAACCTGTTAAAACTGAACAAAATGAAGGAGTCGCTAACCAAATGGTATGCCTTTGATCAACGCTTGGAACACAACATACATCCCTACGCCTATCTCACGGAGTTGCATGACGATTTTAGCACCTGGGATAAGAGGTTGATAAAATTTATAAAGTCGCTGTAGGGGAGAGGAAAGACACGGCTACTTTACAGTGTGAGTGAATCAGCAAAAGAGCCGAAAGTGTTGTGAGAAGATGAACAAAAAACTAAAACTATCATTGCACGGCTTTCCATTGTTTATTGGGCACAGTTTAAAGCATACGCCGATCTGTATAATCCACGTCCTAATGTCAATCTAATAAAAGATTTAGCCTCGTAACTTCGTGTCAAAGACGGATCTTGATATCGTAGCACTAATTTACTCAGCTGGTGTATGTGCTTCATTCAAACTAGATCAATCGTTTTTTACCTTGCTCTTCTGATGATATAGATTCGTTTTAAGCCCAACGAGGAGAACTGCTGTTTACTAAATTTTACAAGCCTCAGCCATACAATTTCATTAAATATCTCAGAGCACATTCCCTACTTTCAGACAGCGTGACTGATGCTTCCACGTCAATATAGCATTATTTCGAAGCAGTTGGCAAGCAAATTGGAGTCAAATAGATTTTTATATCACCCCTGGTATCATCCATGAGGGTAAGCTGGTCTTGTCGTTTTCAAATTAAAAATTAGTACTTTCTAATTTGAGATAATTTGTGTAATACATGAAATTTACGCCAAGATATTATTTCGTATATTAAAATTAGTCGAAATAGTCATAAAGCACATATGTCAGCTGTCCACGTTTTCAATGTACGATAAGAGTGAGCACCGTTTACTCATCATCGGTGTCGACGGATTCGTTGGCGACAATATTGTGCAGTGTGCCCGCTCCAAAGCTCAAAAAGGTAGCGCGCAGCCTTAAACCATCGGGAAAGCCGCAGTGACAGGATTTGCCTTGGATTGATCACATAGATTAGCATATGGACAACTTCTTTAATGACAACAAGTTAGCAAAAGCTGTCGATCTCGTCACAGGAATGAGTACGTCTAATTCATCAACAGTTTGGGATATTAAATCACGTTATAATGTAAACATTGTATGATTAGGCGCATCTGGAGACGGCGAGTTCATCGAAATTATGCACTGACGCCACGGATGTGGCTGCTTAAAAGCTGAAGTAGAGCGCTTTTTGTTCGTCTTGAATTCTCGCGTGGGCTCATTATATTCGCCTTGGCAGCCGATATGCGGCTACTATCACGGCAAAGAGAGAGCTGAAGCTGTCGTACGGAAAAGGTAAGGGCGATTGGATCAAAATAAATATTAAAGAATCCAAGTTACCGCATGCTTGTAGATTTCCTGGCACAGGCATCGCGCTGCTTCCGGGTTTTATTTACGGATGGCGACGCACGAAAAGATGACAAGTTATCTCGCAGTAACTAGTCGGAGCACCAACTTCAATACTAGGAGGTGATGTTGGCGTGGTGTCTTCAATTAAAGTTTATGCCATTCCTTGGCGATTGGATTTAAAGACGTGATCCATGTTAGTGATTGCTGTTGCAAAGGCTGCAGTACTCAGAGCAATCGGTCTGGTGCACGAACGAACATCAAATTCGATGAGTATGCTGAAACGTGCTGATTTATGTCATCTTCATGAATAAGTTTAACCGTACAGAAAGCACATGTTTGTTCAAACGCAAGATGTAATGGAAACGTACACGACCGGATTTGATGCATCCAATCAGCTTATCGCAGCGTGATTAGTCGTAGAACCTGAAAGTCGAGCTCTACCTGGGGCATATACCCTACTCATCAGGTGGTATTTCTATACAAATCTAGACTGTTTGCAGTGGCAATGTCTGGATGGCAAAATTGAGTCTTGTGAATAAAGTTTTTTGTATAAGTGTGGTGCATAGTTGCTGCCGTAGCTCTTTCGTTTAGTGGAAGCTAAGCTAAGGTCGGTGATCTTTCGTTCTATACTTAGACCAGCACGAGGGTGGCGTATCGCAATTTGCTTACTCCAGGACAAACTCCAAATTAAACTCAAGGCAAATAAACTCATCCGTTTAAAGCTGCATTTTCTGCGTTTTATTTTCGGCAAAGCCGCCTATATCCAAATCAGAAGGGCTACCTAATTAAATAGTCGGACCTTATCAAATGCAAGAATACTGGCAGTCCAGCCATGTACTGACTTCTTGTTAAGGTGTAGCCACAGCATTGTATGATCACAACATCTTGTGACCCACCCCTGCATGTGTGACCCCGCTACATATGGAAACATCGTCAGGATCGGCTTTTTCAAGGTAAGAATATCTTGGTTTCGTGACTGTGCTCATTTGAATGCAACTGACAAAGAGCGAGAGCTAAATATTGGTTCTTATCTATCTGAAAAATTAGAACTATAGCGTTCGAGTTGTTTTTTACGGAACATACTGCTTGTAATTATTTTATGCTCACATGATATAAGTCCTGGCATCGCTAATTAATGCTCTGGGTTGCGAATACGGTGCAAGTTTAGTTGAGTTTGCCCTTCTGGTTGAGACAATAAATGTAGCTGCGTCAGCGTTTGGTATCTTCGTCTACATGAGGTCACTTCCCTTACAGGAATGTCTTTGAATTTATTCTAAGCTTATAACGACTCGCATTGAGTCAGAAGTTTCTGCCACATCTTTAAGATAAACAGCTACACAACTATACGTCACTCACTTGTCGTCGCGAAAATAGAACCAACGCGTCTCTTGGCATGTAACTTAAATTATGGTCTACGCAGCGGAATTACTATGCACGAGACCGCGTTAACAGACGCACGAAGGTTTGCTTAGCACGCTCCTACCAGGAGCAAAACCAAGAGCCTCTACCGTGCTTTGGTGTCTAGCTAGACTCTGCTCTTCTAAGAATATTTCGACTAAAACTACATGTGAATATCTCGCATAGAAAAACTGTATGTGGCTTAACACTCGGCAGATTTAAATAATAAGACTTTGGTACTTGTAAAAATCAGAAGTGCTATCTGAATCTCGTTAAAAATACTGTTTTGTACAAATATGTGAAAAGCAGTATTTTACAGTCTTACAAGATCTACAATACTGCACTTTATTGTGCAATCCGTACTGTACAACGATGATTCTCGTAAAGTTATTGTGCAATTTCTACAATACTGTACATTTATACAAGATTTAAACAAATGTACAATACAGACGCCGTTGCACGTACACACAAGTTTAGCTATTGTCCATCAACTCGTTTCACCTTGGTACTTGAATGAGGTAGCGAAGAGGTTTGGAGGTTGGGTTTTTCACCCAACGCTACGTAACCCGTAAGTGTAAGATCTTGAGAATCGGCATTTGTGCCACTAACGTGTATTTAATATTAGTTGATATTTAACTTAAGCATAAATTAACGTCACCAATGAACTTTTACTTTGCAGGCAATCGCTTTCGCTCGTGGATGAAGCGAACACATTCATCCTCTGTGTTTGATCAGAGGTTATTTGAGTCAGAGTTACTTAGGTGAGAGATACACGGCAACCCTTTTGAACTTGGTAGCACTGATCGTAAATTCGAGGACCGAGTCCAAAAAATAGACTGTACCAAATGGTATTTGAAAAAGTGGAATGTTCAAGTAGCTGTCTTTATACAATAGAAAACACTTGCTCAGATTCTGTTTCTGTCATTTTGATTCTCTCGAAGGGATAACGTAGTTAGCACTTCAGTGGTTGGAAGCGGTTATCGCTTGCCTTGAAGATTTGACAGCTTAAAATGCCTGGATGATCCCCACCAGAACGCCCCATCGAGGCGTCGTTGGTAAAAGAAAGGGCCATAATCAAAAGCCCACATTTTCATGCATCAAGCCTTTTGTGGAAAAGGATGTAAAACCTTTATATTTTTTGACTTTGCTTCAAACAGCGCATTAGCCAGTCAAATTTGCTCCTACAAGCTAGGAGGTCTCGCGCGAGAATAGGTAGTACTTCGGTGGAAATTGCATCTCTCTATGAATATTAATGAAGCGATAATGTTGCTTATGATTGCACAGCCTATCCGGGCGTATCATCTGCAATCTAATACTTGGTCAGCCGTCAAGAGGAGCAAAAATTGGTAAATCATGCACAGATTTTAAGAATATACATTGCTGGGATGTTGGTAGATCATCTCTCGGGGTGATAGTAGCCAACTTCTGGAAGGTTTTTGAACGAGTGGGGCTTGCACCGAGCTCTGTCCGGCCTACTCAATCATTTTTAAAAAGGGTTATGAATCGCACTAAATGGTGAAGACGAATTTTGTGCTGGAAGGGCTTGTAAGAGTGCGAGAGATAGTAGCCCTACGATCACACAAGGGGCGATAGGCCTCATTCAAGCTGTAAAGAAAGTATATGGCCTCATATATACCGAGGATTTTTGTGGTATTTACATATGCTATATTTGTTGTAACACCTACCATTTGCGCCCTCTGTGCCCCCTTTTCTTAGTCGAGATGGTTGAGGGCCGATCTCACACCGACAGATCTCTTGCGGGTAATTCTGAGGCCAAACAAACTATCTTGTGCATATGGGGAAATTGTTGTCGAGGTCGAGGCAAAATGTCTCATTTCAAAAAAATAGCGACTTGTTTTAAATATGGCGGGGCTCACAGCTCACGATTATTAACAGTTAGCATCGATGTCCTGGATGTTGTGGAGCCATGTACTGCAATGACGGACTAAGAAGTGTTGTGAAAATGTGTACACTGCGCGACTGTCAAAAAATAAATATGTGAAGACATTTATAACACCGAAAACTGGAACGATGGCTCAAACCTGAACATTTGAAAGTTCTTATGCACAGTCTGAAGATTTTGGCAGCGTAAGGCGTTGTCCGGTCTTAAGACCTTGATTAAATTTCAAAAGTCCGAAACATTAAGTACCACGTGCTTCTTTTCTGGTAAAGACGCGATAAATACTACTTTGTTAGAAGCATTTTTAACGCAGGTACATAGCTGCAATTGCGCCGGTGCAAGACATAAAAACGTCTAAAGTGCATAGCAATGGTATTGCTAAGTGTTTTCAGCTAGGTTAGCTTCATAAAGAGAGGAGAAATAGTGATCATTATTAAATATCCCCGGATTTTTTTGCTACTAAGAGACGACATACTAGCGACATTATTGCATAAAAATCATGGATTTGTTTCGGTCGAACATATTAGGGCAAGTGCATGTTAAGATATGATTATTTGATTGTAAGGAGCCAAATCAGAACGACATTGTTCCACAGATTTAATGAACGCGCCAGACACGTTTCACCGTTTTGTATTGTAGCTGTTTATGTCACATTGTGCCGATGCACATTTCTATTTCATCGATGTCAACGTTCATAGTCTTGTAAAGCACGAGGAGTCGGATGTGAGCGCCAACATTAACCATCCCCAATATACGCGCTAGAAGAAGTTGCCTGCAAGCAGAGATAAGTTTTGCTTTATGCCAGCGAATCCTCACGTCTAGGATGCATCTTTGGTATCATCAATCACTGACATCCTGCGTAAAGTAAGGTCATTGTAAATATGCCAGAGTCGCTGTGTTTCATTGACATCAGAGGAGTAGGCTTGGCTTAATCAACTTCCCACACACGTATAGTGCGAATAACGCCAACATGACATGTTTACACAATATTCCTTATGCAAAAGTGTTACAGGGTGCTATTGTGCGGTAACCAAGTAGGCATTAGAAGCTGTGCTTTAGATTCTTTACACACCTCAAGCTGCCCGCGCTAATAGCGCTTCTGCTTTCTAGCAAAGGTGGGTTCATGACTCACCAATACTTTACTAGTAGACGTGCGCGTAGCACCCAAAGTTTTCGACCTCAAACGAATTCATGGCTCATGGTATTCCAACCATGCCATACCAAAGCCAAGGTCATACCTTGATACCAAATCTGAGACTATGCACCCGGCAGCTCGGAAATCTGCCTCCTCTTTTTCATTATAGCTGATATCCACTGGCTCAGGCCCGCTCGACTACCTGCTATGGTGTGCATTACAACCAAGCCGTGCCGATTTGAAGTTGAACTCAGCATTCAACGCCATATTCACCGCTTCATAAAAAAAGATGAAAGCGCATGGAAGACTTCCATTTTGGCCAGGCCAGTGCGGGGACCCTTCATGACGACGGTCGACGCAACCGCCTCGAAAAGAGGATCCACTGCCATCCGGCAACGAGAGCTCTCAACTCTTCGTCAAAGCCTACCAATTTCGCGATAGCACGCGATATAGCTCGTACTGCTGTGATAACACTCGCAAAAGCGGACATATCTGCTCCTTCCAGGAGGGGAACGCCGCTTTAACCGAAGTAACGCACGTTAGACCCCATTCTCGCACTCGACCCCCGAGCTTGATGATAGCTAAAGCCACTCGCTGTTGCTCAGTCAGAAGAATGGCGAACGCCACAGCCATCGCGGCCTCTCTCACTCATAGCAGGAGATTCTTCCCACCCTGACCCTCCCGATCTAAACGCTCGCCATGATGGGGCCTGGTTTGGGATGAGTCATCCGACGTCAGCGGTGGTGTCATGGAAGCAGTCGATGCCGACATCATCTGCTGTAGGTGGTCTAGCTGAGAAGTTTTATAGCTTGAAAACGCCTCTAAGCGCGCCCTTATCGCTTTGGGTCCTTGCGAATCAAGATATTTCACCGCCTCAGGGTCAACCAGAGACATCAGCTTTCTAAGCACGTTCTACATCCCCGGGGGGAATAGGAGAACTGCATCCATCCTCACAGAGGATTAGTCTTATCAACGTGTAAATTGACTATAAGTGCTACCATGCACAGCGGGTGCTACTGTAGCTCTTTCGCTGAGAGGATGCTTTGTTATGGCCAATGACCTTCGTTTCATACTTATAACAAGTATTAGTGTAGCGGATCACAATCCACTTACTCCAAGACAAACTACACACTTAATTCAAGGTTAATTGTTTCTCCCGTTATGGACGCAAACTGTATTTTACGGTTTTATTTGCGGCAAATCCGCCTATATCAAAATCAATATATATATTCCTTAAAATAGTAAAACCTAATCAAATGTATAATTATTGGCTGTTCCAACTACATACTGACTTGTTTATTTTAAAGAATGTATTACACTACACGCTTCCATCGTGATATGCAACACGGGTAGACTCGAGAACGCACTCATCATCACATTAAGCCGACCTCACCTATACTCTAATTCGTACTGTGTTATGATCATAATGCTTGAGTCCTCGTTGGCAATGAAGCACGACATGTCACCGTATCAATAATGGAATGGCACATGTTGCAGAATAAGAAAAAAATAATATTTGTGTTGGGAATTTCATACAAAGTACTTGTCATGCAAACTGTCAATGTTTAAATCAGACACGCATGTCACTTTCACAGCTGAAAATTACGACAGGACGGATTCTTGAGTAGTGTCGTCCAAGAAACCAATGTTCCACCTACAATTTGGCTGAGAAAATTAAAAATTAATTTCGAAACAATTGTAGCCCACTGGTATCTTGGAGCTTTATATTTCAAAGACGCACCGATTTAACAAACCGAAGTATTGATCACAAGCCGGGCAAGCCAAATGTAGCTGAGTGAGTTCGACTGCTGGCACGTCACACCGCGTCCCAAGTCGCTTCCACGCTAAATCGGACTTGGCAGAAACAACTTATATTTTTTACCACTGGTGGCAGATTATGGTAACACTCACGTTTTGCGACGAAACTCATAGAGTTACACAAAAAATCCGGTTCATTTTAGCCTTGGCCGCACGCATTGCACTTGGTTTAATTATGAATGTTACAGCTGATTATCAAATACGTCGCTGTTGAACAATTTTTTTGAACATCGTTTGCGGAGCTACGCATGTTTATGCTGTCTAATACAATAATGCTATCGCTACAACATAACACACGAATAACAAGCTCTTTTGATTGGTATCAACTCAGTTTAAGATATGATTGATGTCTCTCACCCAGCATCAGTATTTTCAACCGGCTCACAATGTTTGACACAGATTCTTCTATATTAAGACATGCATGAGGTGATTTTTAGACGAGCATACGCTGTCTTCACAACTGCAAAAAGAAAATCTCACATTCAAAATATAATTCACTCTCTTTTTGGTTTGACAATAAATGGTCCAAATGGTCCACGCAGAACACATGATGTTAAAACCGTTTCATAAATGTTTAAAATAGCATTTAAAAGCTTAATAACCAGCAAGAACGCAGCTATGCAATGATCAATCAATGGCGAGTTTACGTTGTTAATGTACGAGTTCACTATATTCGTGGATTGATCTGTCGGTTACGTAATCACAACATCATGATTTGGTCAAGAGTCGGCGTCGGTCACAACGCTGTTCGAACCACAAAAAACGTCATTTTACATGCTGAATAAAATTGCGATGTGGCTGTCTCTTCTTTATTAACATCAATAGGTCTAAATGAAGTAAAAGATTTATTTGTAAGAAAGTAATCGGGATAGTTAATCCTTGTCCCTTCAGCGTCTAACACCTAAAACGTACTAACGCGTCAGTAAAATGGTCTATCCGGGATTCAAAGAGCACTGGACTGGGACGTCAATGTATTGGATATCGTAGTATCCGAGCTGTCAAATTCCAAAGGTGTTTTGGACGGGTGTCCCGAGTGGTCTGAGGGTTGGACATGGAGTGGCTCGTTACCCACTGAGCGCTGCTCAGGTATTGGAACAGTCGTGGCATGCAAAGAACTGCATGATCGGCGCCAAAGGCCAATGCATCAAGGGCGAAAGCTTTGTAAAGCACGTGTTCGACACGTAACCCACTGAGCATTGCTCACGGTACGATGCAGTTGCTGCATGCTAAGAGTGGCATGGTCGGACGTGGTCCGAGTCATCAAAGGCAAGGCCTCTGTGATGCGCGTTGAGAGGCACTTTGTTCACTGAGCACTGCTCACGTTACGCCAAGAGTGGCGTGGTCGGACGAGGTCCGGGGCATCAAGGGCGAGGACCTTCTGATGCGCGTGGAGTGGCACAATATCCACTGGACGAAGCATGTAAGAATAGCAGCTTTTCGTCAAATTTTGTTAATAACATCAAGGGTCAGGTGGATCAGGGAGTGGGGACACTGGACGGCGCTGAGTGCGAGTATCCAGTGGTCTTGCCGAGCCTTAAAACATCTGTGGAGAGGCAACGACGACGTTGTATATATTCTGCAAGATGCCGGGTGTCGGCCCGGATCCAGGGGTGTCTACCGTAGATAATATCACACAGCTATACACTCTCGTCAAGGGTATGACGGATGAAAAAGACGGCAACGTTGCCCTTTCGGCTATTCCCACGGTGGATGCTCTTCTTGAGCAGGACAAGATGTCCTTGAAGATTTTGACGGTGCCTTGAATGCAGGTGACATAGCCGAAGTGGTCATTATAGGACCAAAATAAGAAATTAAATCGTCGTGGCTGCTGACTGAAGCTATTTTGAAGGGCATCAAGAGGGAGCTGAACGCACGCAGATAGTCTTCGATCATAAAGAATTCCACGCATCCGTACTATACTTTATCCTTCGTCGTCTTCAAAGAATCGCCGCCGGTCCTACCTCCGAACAGAAATTGATTGACCTGGTTCCGGGAACCAAATACCACATGACGCGCCAATGAGGACTTCCCGAGGAGCGGCGTGACGTCATTAACGTGTTAACCGTGCTAAGCACGACGCAGGAATGGTGTCATACAACACTCACGATTTTGTGGTCGGAAGTCGAACGGCAAGTGGCATATCGTTCACGCTTACAAAAAGGTAAACGCTTTTAACATTCTGGTTTAGAGGCCGGCTCCTACTATACCAGGTACGATATGGTTGGCTGTACAAAGTACAGTGCTCTCGACTTGGTTGATATATATAACGAATCGCTCATGAGAGCGAAAAATATTCTGCTGACGGCGGTGAGTACTCCGAGCGGGATGCTCTGAAAGTGGCTGGTGATGCACCAAGGGCTGTCAAACTCACCAGCAACAATTAATCGTCTTGTGACGCAATTGTTTCTGTCTCCAAAGGGCGTATGCCCAGAGATACTTTGACGACTTTTTGGCACGGGAGGACAAATGAAAAAAACCACATGGTCAATTTTGAGAGCGGTGCTCGAGTGCACGCGGACGAATAAGCTGTATGCTAATACCAATTATTGCACCTTCGGCGCGAAAATATCTCCTTTTAAGGGTGCTATATTGGGAAGCGTGGCCTCCGAAAGGATCCCGCCAAGGTCAAGGCCAATGTGGACTGGCCAGTTCCAAAGAACCAACAGGACTTGCGCAAGTGGCTTGGCCTTGCCAAGTATAACACAAATTATGCGGAAATGGAACGGCCATCGTCCAATCTCGTTTAATGGTTTTGGGACATCAAACATCGAAAGGCTGTTGACATGGTCAAAGACAGCCTCCTTCATGAACCAATACTGGCGTTGCCAGACCCCGATCGTTCTTTAGTGTCGTCTGTGACGCTTCGGACTATGACATCGGCTGTGCACTGTTGAAACCAGAGGCCGAGGGGCGAGAACGGGTGACCGCTTTCAAGTCTAGCCAGCTTAAAGCTGCGGAGAGGTATTACCCAGTCCACAAGGAATTGCTTGCGATGAAGTATGTACTTCTCAATTTTAGGATGCACCTGCTTGGCTCAATGCAGTTTGTGATCTACACAGATCATGCGTCATTACGTACTGTAACTCAGTAGCCTCACATCTCGCAGAGGATATCCAGGTGGCTCTCATTCTTTGCGGAATATAACTTGGAGGTGAAATATAAGCCCGGAAAGCAGAATGCTTAGTTTGATGCGTTCTCACGCAGACCGAATTATTGGCTTTCACATGCCACGACATTGACGTCGTCAGTGACGGATTTGATATGGGCCGCATTCGCGGGTGATGATATGTGCGCAGCGCTACAACGGGCTCTCAAAAGCAGCGAGTGTGGAAACACGAACAAGAAATTGTCGGCGCGATTGCGCTCACAGTTACACCGATATTCGTTAAATAACGGGTTGCTGTATTATAGCACGGATTCGAAGGGTACTCCACGCATTGTGGTTCCTCACAATGAGTATTTAAAATACCGTATCCTCAACGATGCCCACGACACCCCACTTTGTGGTCATCTTGGTCGTGAGAAGATGTACAGACATGTGATTTGTGCACAGTCCATGAAAATGGACTTTGTGGTTGGCCTGCCGAAGGACTCGGCGGTCAACACGAGTGTGGTGGTCTGTTTTCACCGTTTGAGCAAGATGGCTCATATTGCGGCAGTGCCGGAACAATGGATAGTTTGTCGATCGTGTCATTCGACAGCATGAATTGTTTCTGCTAGAGACCCGTGCTCTTCTTGAAAGTTTTGATCTATTCTATTCAGGGTGCTGGCCACCAAGTCGATAATGTCAACAGCGGACCATCTGCAGAATAATGGTCAGACCTGAGCGCGTGAATCGCGTAGTTGAAAACATTCTTCGCAGCGTTTGCGCTGAGACGCCGAAGCGCTGGAACGCTATATTGCACTCGTAGAGTTTGCTCTAAATGATTCAGTGAATTTATCTACCGGCTACAAGCCATTCTTTGGCTGAGATTTTGGTGGAGGAGACATAAACGAACAGCTTACTGATATCAGCTCCCTCACTGTCCGTAAAGAAGTCGATGACTTCCTGTCTGCCAGAATAGTCTCCTACAACACGTTCGCGATGCGATGGCTGAAATCCAAGGCATGCAGAAAGAATATGCAGATGGAAGAATCAAGAAAACTGTTGAAAGCTTTGATTTGGAAGACCTTTTTTTACTTAATGCTGAAAAACCTCTCTACACAAGCGGTTTCTGCTGATTTTGAGACTAAACTCTGTCCTCGGTTTATCGGAACGTTTGAGGCGGTGGCCATGCGGGCCCTTGCGTATACGTTAAACCTTCCAAAACGGATGTGCACCCACCCGGTGTTTTCTGGGGGATTGCTTAAGCTGCACCGGGAACCGGCGCAAGTGAAAACGGACGCGTTGACGCCGGGGCACCGCCCAAAGGCGTTTGGCCACCCAGAAGTTGAACAAGCACATGGTGTTAAGCAGAGTACAACAATTTCCGTCTACACCGGCGCAAGGCGATCCACTGTTGATCAAAGTGACCTAATCTTCTGCTCAACGGCTACGAGCCGGTCCGACAAAGTGCGATAATCCTCAACGTGAGGCAGTAAGTGCACAAAGTGCTCCAGGCTCACGAGTCATTCAAATCAGCGGTAGGCGACCGCGGGAAGATGCTCGGTGGAGAGCCGATGAAGACGGTATTTGTCCTTCAAAGGTGTCACTTTAGCAAGACTGCCCAGACGTCGTGGACGCTTACGATCAGAAGAATCATGACGTCTCGCGTCGCCGCGTTCCCCGTGCTTCTCGGCGGTAGTCCAAGAAATCGAAGAGCCATGAGCTAAGCTTAAACTATGGCCCTGAGCTGCTGTGTTCGTAGGCTCACCAGTGTGAGAAACCACAGATCTTGCGGGAGTGTGATAGATGATTCCAGGTGTCGCAAAGCGACAATACGCAGGAAGACGGCATTGCGCCTTGAGTTTGGAAAACTTAATCCAAAGATGGCGCTCTCAGCGCACGTCCACTTTCTTGAGCTTTGCTGTGAGGTAGACAGCAAAGAAATTTTCCGGCGCCGCTGCACCCATCGCTCAAATAGGGCTTCATCATCTGCAGATGTTTTGCCAGGGGAGAGCACCACAGAAATATTTCGCTTCGTGGATACAGGAGCGTCTCCTTGTGAGCTCGAAGTCGAGCACGGTACCGATCGTTTGAGTCCTGTTGTGGTACCAAGAAGGGAGATTAGAGAGCTTTCTGCTGGTCAAGATCAGTTTGTGCAGTGACCGGAGGCTTAACCAGGTAGACGCCTAACGATCAAGTGATCGCGTCTTTTGCTTCGGTAGCGGGATCAGCCGTGTGGGGCCGTACTTCACGCGAGGGTCAAGAACCGAACGTAGATACGAGCGCATGAAAGCCGCCCTATAGGGAGCCTCCAATTGCTGCTCTTGTTCCTCGTCCAGGCGATTGGTAACAATACCACATCTTCCGGAAGTCAAGCGGTCGGGGAAGGGACGTGGTGTGTGCAAGGATCGAGGCGGACTCACGTCGCGCCGTTGTCGTGCCTCGTCCTCCTTGTCCTCCCATGCTGGGAAAGGAGTACCCGACTCGAAATATACTTCCTCCGAATTCTTGACAAGAAAATCCGTCGCCCGGGGTAGGCGCGTTGTGTGGCAAAGCTTTGGATGTGCTTTCCCTGAAGCCGCGGACGTACTGTCCGGAGATCCACCCCGTGCAGAAGAAAAAGGGTTTTGCTTGCAAGCGCCCTCGGAATCAGCTAGACGAAGTTTTTTCGTGTCATAGACCCAGGGCTGACTGAGCGAAGAATGTTCAAGGATGTTCTTTAGAACGTAACAGTGACTCAGACACGCGAGTCTTGTATGACGCGACAGTTAAATTTGATTTATAAGAAATCACAACTTTGATGGGGGAAAGTGTAACGGGGTTTCACGTAACCTTATATCAAAGGGGGGGTCGCATACGATGGTGTGACCGTACATATGAGTGGATTACACAAGTTGGTGTAATCACACAATGGTGTGACTACTCCGAAACAAGAAGCCGCCACGACGGGGCAGGACTGCCAGTAGTAATGCATATTAATTTGGTATTACTATATTAGTTAGGAAAATCCAAGGTTTTAGATATAGGCAGCTCTGCCGCAACTAAAACAATAAAACACAGCTTTAAATTTGAATGGAAGAGTATCTCTACCTTGAATAAATTTTATAGTACTCATTGGGGCAGAGGATTGCGATCCGCTACACTCAAACAGATTATTGTGAAGAACTTAAGGTCGGTGACTTATATTTAGCTTCCTGTAAGCAATGAGCTACGGCAGCCCCACTGTAGAGCCTTGGCCTTCTTCCATAGGAAATTCGAATTTAACGTCGGTATTCACGACACCTATATTTCGCATTGAGACTCGTTAACGTATCATTTTACCGGAAGTCGCTGCACTGGCCCAATACTTAAATATGCTCTTCTGGCCTGTTCGCTTTGTCCAAGACCAATTTAATTCGACAATACCCATTTCCTGCACTGATCTATCATAGCTTCACTCTAGGGTAGCTCGCGCAAAATCTAGGGTACATTGGCCTGGCTAAAAAATATTTGTGATCTATCTAGGTATTGCATCGTTGCGCACAGCAACGTTGTTATCACTTTGCCCGCTTCCTTTTCAAATACAAGCTAAGCGCAAGTTACAGAGCCGGACTGGCTAAATGTGGTGATGGCGTTGTCCCGTCTATGAACAGTCGCATTGCACGATGGTGACGCCGCGCATTAATGATGCGATACGTTTACAGACGTAACATGTATTGCTGCGTTGCTGAAAGCATTATAAAACGTATTTGAGCTTAGATGCCGCGTTATGAAGCGGTGCGTTACATCTTTATGGCTAATCTTCCCTAGAGTGTTTATAATAATAGTGCTACATTCACCGTTTGGTTGGGCCTCATGGAGAGGACCTCAAGTATCGAATAATGTATGAGGCGCATCGCATCGTATCCCTTTTTGCTTAGGATCCTCCTCTGTAGTCAGCAGACATAATTGTCAATTAGCAGTATGAACTGAGAGCAGAACTTGTTTATGTGATAAGCTTCCTCAAATTTTTGATGATATTCCTTCGATGTCTTCACTCGCCATATGAAAGAAGCTGTTTACGTATTCAGCAACGTAACTTAATTCGTAAGCATTGTACATGGGCACGCATGTAATTCGATGCGCTGATCAAAGACCTGGAATGTATTGTCTGATCTATTCGTTACAACAAAGAAGCATTATCACGAGGCCAATACGTGCTACGAATTGCTGACCAAATCCTCGGATCTTACAATTTTCAAGCGACAGATCCGATTTATATGAAAGAAGAATGAGACGTAATGCTAATGCTGAATTTCTCACTGAAATCGTACGCTAGTCACTTTCCTCGATAACGTGGTAGTACGTCGCTATCGCAACTGCAGCTGTCAGAAAATGTGCTTTATCTATCTATATTTACAAATTCACTATTGAAAGAGTTGAACAACTACTAGCCACGGAACGTCCGGACAAGACGGTTTTGCTAACCTGGCGGCGTCTCCATGGCATCAATCGACTGTGTCTTCTTGTACTACCTTATACATCTAGAAACTCAGAATGCACAGTGAAAACAAATAGTTAAAATACTTTCATCGTGCCATGCGTCTCTGAACCGGATTCTGGCACTCAGAAAAATAAATATTTTCATTTTATTGTGCAGAAAATGATCGGAATACCGGATAACAAGGATCTAGAAGAGATCAAGGAGGCTTTCCGTCTCTTTGATACAATTTCAACAGGTTCCATCGACATACGGAAAATTAAAACTACTATGCGGGCGTTCTGATTTCAATCTAAGAAAGCAGCGATTCATCGGCTGCTAATTGCTTTTGGTTAGGACGAAACAGAGACGATCAATTTATTGAACTGATGACGAGTCGAATGGTCCATTCACTTAGGGTCTACATAGTTAAATTCAAGTGTTTTTAAAAACAAGTAATATATGCCTTTTCAGAACTCATTAGAACCATGAAAAGAAATTATAAAGACCTTGTCATTTTCGAGGATCTTAACACGGGCAAGATTTTGCTCCGAACTTTAAGCGCTTGTATACCGAACTAGGCGAAACCTTGTCGAATCAAGAAATGCATGAGATGATTGATGAAACCGATCGCGACAGAGACGGACTAATTAACGAGGATTTTTTTTCTCATTTTGGATAAGCAAATTGGGTTTTCACTTGACGACCTCAGTGACGACAATTAAGCATGTTGATAGTCATATACATCCGTTGTGAAAATACGTTTCTCAGCAGAATGTAGTTATCAAAATGCTACATTAGTAGATGCATCAGTAAATTACCATGATCTTAGTTTGACAAAATCGCTGATAGAAGTCGTTTATTGATGGTTTGCGTCGCTGACTGCTAGCTTTTCTACATCACCTGGTACTTCGATCAGCTTTGAAAAAATCAATTTACGCTGTAAAGTTGACGCTTCATTTCTATCCTCTGCTTCAATTTTTTGTCCCAAAATGAAAAATATTGGTTTTGTGCACGAATTGAATTATTTGCTGAGTATTAAAATGCGGCGAAAACTCACGTCACGATCAAAATGTCACCTAAATTTTCAGCTTGGTATCACTGTGCATTCCAAAAACCTTCATGCGTTCAGAATTGTAATAACACAGTCAAGTGAATCTCTGGAGACGCTGCCAGGCTTGCTTAGCCGTCGCCCTTGACCGGAAAGTCCGTTGTTCGCTCGTACAAAATTATACGATTTTTTTGTAGTAATTTAATACATTGGATACACCGAACGCTGTAGTCGTAACAGCGACGTTTTGCCACGTTGTCGCGTAAAATAACTGGAGTATAATTTTAATGGCGAAGTTCAGCATTATGAGCAAGTATAGATCATACTTCACATGTCGCTTAGAGTATGGTAGCTGAAGGCCTCTCTCCAGCAATCTTTACACGTATTGTACCCGCAATATGATGAACACAAAGTTATCCGCTTCGTTGTTGTATCGAAGAGATTAGTAAATACGTTCCACGTCTTTGTGCAGCACATCGATCTACATGGGTAACCATGTACGGTGTTCACGAAGTCAATTGTGTTGCAAATATAAATGAAAGCTCTACCGAGAGAGAAGACAATTAGCGAATGTCAAAGAGAATTTAAGGACGTACGTATCATACAAACATGTTGTGCTCCCTGTTCATACTGCTAATTGATACTGCTAATTGACTGGTATGTATGGTTACTTAGGAGAATCATAAGCAAGAGATACGATGTGCCTCATACATTCTGCGATTCTTGAGGTCCACCAAACGTTAAATATAGCACTCACCAGAATGCAATAGCAGTGCACGCCTGTGATTGAGCAACATCAAAGGTGAACTACTTTCCTTAACGCTTTTAGCAATGCAGCAATATATATCACGTATGTGTCATCAATGAACGACGTCACGATCGTTACATGCAATTGTTTACAACCAGAGCAACGCCAAAGCGGCCAGTTTGATTATACTCTTCGCGCATGAGGAGGAATTGGATATTGATAATCGTCCGACCATTCTTTGTGGAAAAGTGGTAACGACGTTGCTGTGCGCAACGGCGGAAGATCAAAATAGATCACAAATATATTAGAGCCTAGCTGATGTACCCTGGATTCGGCGCGAGCGTGAAGCTATGATAGATTCAGTGCAGGAATTGGGTATGTCCCAGATAAATGTTGCCCCTGGACATAGAGAACAGACCAGAAGAAGATAATCAAGTATCGGGCTGAAGTAACGACTTTCGGTAAAAAGGTACGCACACTAGTTTCAATGCCCGATATAGGTGTCGTGATTATCAACGTCCTGATTTGAATATCTTATGCGAGAAGGTCGAGGCTCCCGAATTCAATGCGTACAGATTACAAGCGCAGACTAGCAGAGCACTTTCCTTTGTGTTATTCATGGTGTTGTCTAACGCTGCTGCTGTCATACACCATTCATGGTGTTCGCCGTTGTATATTTTGATTCTACGTCATGAATTCTTTCTAACTCGGAGTTGATAGCATTAAAAATATCATTGATAAGTCATATGGTTAGTGTGATTAAAACGCTATAGAGCATCCTTAATCGAGTATTCTATCATTGCAGTATCACAGGCGCTGACAATGCCAAAGACGGAGAGACCTCTGCTGGACACTAGAAGCTAATGAGGCCAGCGACTCTGCCGAAGGACCACAGTAAAGATGCATTTGAAGTCGTCGATGACAAAACTGAAAAGTGATTGGAGTCTATAGTAATTCGAGGTGGGCGACACCAAGTCTGAATTGAAGCGATTTCCGATAGGTCGATTTATATCAAAGAGAAAAAAATTGTATGACAACACCAAATTACGTATCGGCCTGATATTGGTAACACGATTCGAGTTACCTTATTATACAGCAAGATGAGTGACCAGAATGGATGCCAGCAGAGAAATTTAAAGTGGCGAAGACACAAAATTAAAAGGTTATCATTTTTACTTGAATACTTAGGCCTTACGACAAAGTCTAAGCCGAAATTGGACGTTCATTCGTCTGAAGGCGCTCACTAGCTTTCAAAACGCGCTGGCGAGGCGCGTTCAAAAAGCTGTCATACATGGCTATCACACCTCATTTGTCCCTTAAGCTTTTGTGCAAACCGTATCGTTGAGTTGGTACGGGAAGAGGTTGGATATTCTAATACGTACATTGTATTCGTGCGTCTTGCAATGGACAGTATGTAAGCAGATCCCGAAGAGTGAGAGTAGAGACACATCCAGAGTAAATTTGTGGAGTTGATATCACGAGTTTCTTCACTTAAACCATGCCGTGTATGAATCACGACATGTTATCGTATCAATTATGTACTTGCGCATGGCGCAGAATGAGAAGAAATTAACAATACACTATATACATAGAGCTTGCCGAGCAGTATGTTCTTTCCAAATCTGACACGCATCACGGCTAAAACTTACGATGGGACGGGTCCTTACGCAGTTTCGCTAAAGGAGACAATGTTTCATCAGCTTCCACCTAGAAGCTGGCTGACAAAACCATTGAAATAGCTTCTAATATTTATAGCCCACTTGTATCTTGGAATATCGTATTTCTCATTAATTCTGCAATCCAATCTGATGATCGCAAGCCGGACAAGCCAAATCTAGCTGACTGATTTCGACTGCTGGCACGTCTACCGCGTCGCCAAGTCGGTTCCATTCTCCATCGGACTTGGCAAAAACAACTAATATTTTTAACCATTTGTGGTAGATTATGGCAACAAACGTTTTGCGGCAAAGCTCATAGATTTACGCCAAAATCCGACTCATTTCAGCCTTGGACGCACGCATTGCACTTTGATGTAATTATGACTAATTTTTGTTACCGCTCGTTGAAGAATTTGTCGCATTGCTTTTTTAAGGCGTTGCTCGTAGATCTAGACGTCTTTGTATAGCCTTTTACAAGGATGTCACCGCCACAACAAACATACAGATTATCAACTCTTTTGATTGATATCAACTCATATAGTCTAGGTGCTTTAGATAGATGTCTCTCACCCAGCATCCGTATTATAAACGGGTTCATAAAGTTTGATAAAGAACTCGTTTTATTTAGACATGCATGACATGATTTTTGAGACAAGCATACGCAAGTACAAAGATCTTCACGACAGCCAAAAGAAAAAAGACAATACCATTTTCAGAATATAATTTAATGTTTTCTTGTTTGACAAAAAACGGTCCAAATCAAAATATAGCTCAGAGGAATCCACGCAGAGTACATATTGCTTACGCCATATCATAAATGCTTGAACATCGACTAGAGCTTAACGACCAGCAATGACGCGGCCATGCAATGATCGAACACTACCTATTATACGTTGTAGATGCACGACTTTACTTTATACTTAGGGTGGTTTGTTATTTTCGTAATCACTACGTGTTAAATAGGTCAAGTGGAGGCGTCGGTCACGACGCTGCTCAAACAGCAAGAAAACAGCATTTTGCATGACGCATAATATTGTGTTGTGGTTGTCCTCTTTATCGTTGGAAATAAGTCAAACTCTCTTTTTTTGGATGTGAACAACAAAATTGATCATTTGAAAGATGTGTCCCTACGTATGCGCATGAATAATTGTCAACCTAGATCTATGTGACTTGAGTGCCGACAAATCGTCTGGGCTGGATGCCTCACTAGGAAACATGACTTGCGGAGATTCCGCGTAAATAAGGGCATCGTTATTAGGCCAGTGCCGCCAGGTTTCATAGAGACTAGAGAAGAAGGCCTGTTTTGATAACTTCTCGTAGCACCTTGCTTCGGAGTGATAGCTGTAGTGAAAAAGATCTGAGCTTCTCGCATGTAAGATACTCATTATCAAAACAAGCTAGGAATGCTGAGCAAACTAAAGGGATCAATTTGTTCAGCGACATGTCTTTGACCTGCGTCTCACCGCAATGACTGCTACATTTAGCGTATTTTAAGCATGCAAAAGTTTCCGTTTGCATCAGCCTTTCCGACAACGATTGTCCTCGACAAGAGGAAATAAACAAACTCCCACTAAATCTGATTTGCGCTTCCAATTTTTTTAGTCAGACGTCACACTGTCATTCATGCAAGAGCCATTGTCCTGTGATGAGATGTTTGGCTCAAAGGATCAAAAAGATCTCATGGCTTATCCCTTGATCCGATAGAATCGGGCATCTAGGCACCAAGTTGTAGATTTCATCCACTATAAGTTAAAACGATCCGTAAGATCATTGAAGATAGCCGTCTCACTTTCCGCGCTTAAATATCTGCAAGTTTACTAACGACAAAATTATCGATGAGGCAGGGTGAGTCCAGCATCTCATTCGAGTATCAAGAGTAATAAAAAGCTTTTGCTTAGCGTAATGAGAAAGATTCGTAGAGTCTTAAAATTACCACCCACTTTTATTCACGAGTATTTGAATATACTCATAACAAACCCATGAAGCTTTACTTGCTGACTTAGCAATGGCATAACATGATGACATATTTGGACCATCCCTGATTGTGTCAGAAGGTGGTTCATAACTCGCAACTTTCCGTTGCTTTTCTCACCAACTCAACCTCAGGATTCTGTGGCACAATGACGTTCTGACTCGGCTTCATGTAATCAAACCCTGAGATCAAAGCCCTTATTCGTTCGACCAAAACAAATCTCTGGTCCAAGCCATAACGTCGCTAGTCTTCTGTCTCTACGGAGAGAAATACGCTGGTGACGGCAAAAAAAGTTCTTTTTTCTCCTCTTGTCGAGAAGCCTAGCTTAGCTTAAAGCACTTACCAAAATCATTGCATTCACTTCGAGCAATTTTATGCCCTGCACCAAAGCGATTGCAGCTTTATGCCTACGTTAAAACGCTCTGCCTTTTGGCAGAAAAAACTTCATGACTTACCAAAGCTTTACTAGAAAAGAGGTGCGTCTTGCTTAACTTTTAAAAATTCCGCCCGATTCATGCTACAATAAAGATGTATTTTTGATCAAGGTCTAGGACAACACAGCATTCCACGCTGCCTAAATCATCAGACTGTGCAGAAGGGTATAAAACCTTTGACATGTTCGGAACGAGCCATCGAATCAGTATTCAGCGTTGTTAGTGTCTTTACATATTTCATTTTAACAGTCGCGTTGTGTACGTAAATTTACAACACCCATGAAATCATCAGAGCAGCACATGGCTTCACAACGCCCAGTATATCGATGCTGACTGTTGATAACCCTTGGCAATGAGCCCCGCCAATTTTAGGATGATACGCTATACTTAGAGATGGCCTCGACCTCCACGACGGGGAAAAGAGCGCTACTTTCCCCATATAGTTTGCTTAGCCTCAAAATCATCCACGTGGAATCTCTCGGTGAAAGATCGGCCCTCATCCATCCAAACCAAGAGAAGAAAGGCATAGGGAGCAAATGGTAGGTGTTACCACATATAGCATCTATAAGTACCACAAAGCTGCTCGACAGACGAGAGGCCATCTCATGCTCTACAGCTTGGGTGGGGTCCATCGCCGCTTGTGTGATCGTAAAGTCTTTACCTCTCGCGTTATAACAAGCCCTTTAAGCACAAAGTTTGTGCTCAGCATTCAGTGCGATACAAAAAACTTTCTCGTTAAAGATTAAGTGAGCCCGACAGCACACAGTACAAGCACCACTCGTTCAAAGACCTTTAATAAAGTTCATTACTGCTACCAACCCAGGTAGATGATCTGCCACCATCGCAAAAGGTGCATATGTTTTACCAATTTTTGCCTCTCACGACGGGTGACCAAGAACTGGATTGCAGGTGATACTCCTGGGAAGGCGGTGCAACTACATGCAACATTGTTGCTTCATTACTCTTCAAGATGACAAAGCCACTTCCGGCTAGTTACTGCACATTAATGCCTATTCTACGCGCGACCTCCTAGCTTGTAGGCGGTGGATACGACTGGCAGATGAGCTGTTTGTCGCATTGTCGATTTCGTTTCTACATCTACGCCATTAATATTAAAACATAAAGATTTTACATCCCCGCCGCGCGATGGACTTGATGCATAACCGGCCTTTCGTTGATGGCTGTTTACGCCATGAAATGGCATTTTGAAAGAGCGCATCAAAGTATTATAGCTTGTAAAATCTCCGAGGCATGCGATAACCGCTTCCGACCACCAGATCGCTAGCTGCACTCTCCCCTCGAGAAATGCTAATGACAGAAACAGAATCTGAGTAAGTGTGTTCTGTTGTACGAAGACAAATATTTGAACGTCCCCGTGATCAAATACATGTGACACAGTCTAATTAAGACTCGGTTCTCGGAATGACGCTTGGTGCTACCAACTTCAGAAGGGTTGCTATGCATCTCTCACCAGAGTGGCTTTGGCCAACAATTACGCTTGAGCAAGCACACAGAAAATGGATTTGCTTGCTTCACCCAGGAGCGAAATCGAGATTTCGCGAAGTAATCAGGCATCAGTGATGTATATTTGGTTAAATTTAAACTAACATTAAATATGTATCTCGGATACAAACAATAATACAATGGCAAAATGCACATAATGTCTACTTAGCTAGTGCATCCCCATTTTGTGGCTGAATTACAATCTTACGCATTTCATAGCGTCGAAGCATCATTACTGCCAAATATTTTCAGATCCAGTCAGATAACTGAAACTAACAATAAAGACAAAATGTATCAGCTTGGCAATTATAAGTTGGTCACAAGTTTGCATCATGATCCATCGGTACTGTATTTTGTTGTGCACTACGCGGCAGGCAAGCAGACGTGTCCAGAGTAAATAAATAATCCGCTCTAATATCGAGAAAAAGTGTGTAATACACGTAAATTACGCAAAGATATTATGTTATGGTTAAGCACAAATGTCTACGTTTAAAAGCGTTCGATAAGAGTGCACATTGGTGGCAACGGATTCTGGCAGCAATATCTTGCAACGTGCCGTTCAAAGAGCATATAAATACGCAGCCTTAATCCATCTGGAAAGCCGCAGTGGCAGGTATGCCTTGGATTTATCGCGTGGATTGACACATGGGCAATGTCTTTGACAACAATCAATCAGCAAGAGCTGTCGAGGGGGTCAGAGTAGTGAGTAAGCCTAATTTAGAAACAGTTTGTGATAGTTGTAATTTAAACATGACATTGTATGACAGTCTCAACCGTAGGCGCATTTGGCGACAATGAGTTCATGAAAAAATGTGCGGTGACGCCACGATCGTGGCTGTTATAGCAGCGCAAAAAACTGGAGTGGGGTACTTTATGTTTGCTTCAAATTCTCGCGTATCCGTCTTTGGCTGCCGGAAAACGGCTAATTTTTCGGCAAAGAGAGATTTGAAGGTGCCGTACAGGAAAGGTAAGAGCACCAACGGATCTGAATGAATCTCAAGAGATCTGACTTACGCATGCTTATAGGTTTTCTGACACAGGCGCCGGGCTATGTCTACGGATGGTGACGCACGAAATAGAACAAGAATTCCCGCTGTAAGCCGCAATATATGTTAGTGCTGTTGCAAGGGCTGCAATGCTCAGTGCAATCGGTCCGGTGCACGAACGAACATTTGATACGATGAGTATGCTCAAGATCGTGATTCATTTCATAATTTTAACCGAAACAGAAAGCACATGAACGAGAAAAGGCATGATGTACTATAAAATATACAATTGGATCTGATGCATCTAACTAGCTACCCGCAGCGTGATTAGTCGTAAAAACTGAAACAGGTAACATCTCGTGCTAAAAGTCGTGCTGTACCTGGGGCAAAAATCTTCTTCATCAGGTGATATTACGATAGTACATTAGCTGCAATAGCAATGTCAGGATGGCAAAGAAGACTCTTGGGAAGTAATGATTTTAAAGCAATGTGAACAAGATCGTCAGCATCGGCTATTTCGAGGTACGAAACGAAACCTTCGCTTCGTGACTGTGCTCATTTGAATGCAGCTGACAAAGATCGAGACCAAGACCTTGGTTCTGATCTAATTGAAAAAACGATGAATTCCAGCGCTCGAGTTGTTTTTCACGGTACATACTGCTTGTAATTAGATCATGCATAAGTCAATCAGAAAGCTAGAAGCTCAGTCATTACTGATTTTGTGATCTGGGTGGCGAGTTTGGTGCGAGTTTAGTTGATTCGGCACTACCGACGGATGCACTAAAAGTATCAAGCTTTTAAAGATTATTGCATTCAGTCAAGTTTTTCTGCCTCATCGTTTTCAAGATTAACAGCTGCATATATATACGCCACTAAACTTGTCTTCGCGAAAACACAACCAATGCGTTTCTTGACATGTAACATTAATTATGGTGTACGCAGCAAAGTTGCTATGCACGAGCCCGCGTTAACGAACTCACATAAATTTGGTCATCACGCTACTACTGAGTCGAAACCGAGAGTCTAGATAGGCTCGACTAATACAAAATCGAAGTGTCTCACATAGTAAAAGTGTTTATGGCCTAACGCACGGCTAAGTTCTTAAAAACTAATTTTTTGGTACTTGTGAAATTCGTAGGATTGTACAATTTTACAATTATCACACTGTACAATACAGATGTACGTACAAGTTACGCTATTGTCCATCAACTCATGTCGCTAGAAGGGTCTTGATAGATTTAAATTCTTACTTGTGAAAGCGAGCGGCATGGCGAACAAAGCGACAAAGAAGAGGTTGAAATAGTGTTGAAATGCAGGAAGTGAAAGGTAAATAAACTGGAAATGTATATAAAAATTGTCTGATAAATGATATGAAAAATACTCACATTTCAGGGTAAAGATATAGTAATTATGAATCAATTAT